GTAATGGTTCTCTGTCCCTAAGTAACTTTTCTCTGTCCCCAATTATCGTTTCTGTGGCCCTAACTCTGTCCCTGTCCCTAGTACAGAGCGGTCTGCCTCTGTTCAATAACTGCAGGCAAATGAAGAATTCCAAAATGGCCGCTATTTATAGCTCGACCATTACACAGTGCTGGCTGGCTGGCTGCTGATTGGCTGATGCGATCACATGTAGTTGAGGAATGCATTATGGGTCAGCGCGCCTTGTCTGCGCGCCTTCCCAGACATCCCCGCTCCGTCGCCGCACATGTCAGCCGCCATTTTCTGAAAAATTTCGATTCGCGCGTCCGAATTAGGCTATTTTTCGGATTCGGCACGAATCGAAATTTTTCCGATATTCGACTCGAATTCCACTTCGGATACTTCGATTCGCTCATCTCTAGTCAGTATGTATGTAAAGTCACTGTGTGCTGCCTGCCATCACTTACTTTTTCCAGTTAATAAAGATCAAACTGTATAGGCAACAGGTAATTTTAACTTCTGCTTATCCAAACAGAGCGTCTTGGTGATATTTGGAATAAGGTAATAAAAGTAAACATACCATCATATAGTCATCTCATTTTAGAGTGCTTCAAATCTCTTCACTGCAAGGTGTACAGCACTTTTATCACTCCAATAAGACAGGCTGGGGCGTTCAATACCCGTGATACCAATAAAAAGACTATCTGTAGCCAGTGTTATCTAGAATTGGGTCATCTAGTGATAGCTCTTGAGATGTACAGTAGGGAAAATTATTATTTGCTCCCCTGCAGATTTTGTAAGTTTGTCCACTTTTTTTTATCATAGGCTCATTTTGAATGATAGAAACAGATTATCAACCAAAGATCCATAAAAAAAACACAATATAAATGTAATAAACGGAGTTGCAGTTCAGTGAGTAAAATAAGACGTTGATCCCCTACAAAACAACAATAATTCTGGCTCCTACAGACTGGCTATGTGCTCATGTGGTACACAGATTAGTCCTGTAAATTTAAGAAGGTGTGCCTAACGACAACTTGTGTAGAAAAGACACCTGTCCACAGAATCTTTCTTCCATTCAAATTTCACCATCATGGGCAAATGACCAAAGAGCTGTCAATGAACGTCAGGGACAAGATTGTAGACCTGCACAATGCTGGAATGGGTTACAAGATCATCAGCAAGAAGCTTGGTGAGAAGGAGACAACTGTTGGAGAGATTATTTGCACATGGAAGAAATACAAACTAACCATCAATTACCCTCGGTCTGGAGCTCCATGCATGATTTCGCCTCATGGGGTAAGGATGATCATGAGAAAAATGATGGATCAGCCCAGAACTGCATGGGAGGAGCTTGTGAATGATCTCAAAGCAGATGGGACCACAGTCACCAAACAAGCCATTGGTAGCACAATATGCCACCATGGACTGAAATCCTGCAGCGTCCGCAAGGTCCCCTCTTCTCAAGAAGGCACATGTACAGGCCCATCTAAAATTTGTCAATGAACATCTAAATTATTCAGAAAAGGATTGGGAGAAACTGCTGTGGTCAGATGCGACGAAAATTGAGCTCCTTGCCATTAACTTGACTCACTGTGTTTGGGGGAAGAAAAATGCTATGACCCCAAGAACACTATCCTAGTCAAGCACGGTGCTGGAAACAATATGCTTTGGGGCCGATTCTCTGCTAAAGGTACAGGCCAACTTTGGCTCCCGCTGCAGTCAATCACAGCCAGTAAGCCAATGAGAAGAGAGAGGGGGCGGGGTCAAATGAATGGTGTGGGGGCACCTGACAGGAGTGAGGGACCAGAAGAGCCTTCAGGGGACCTAAGTAGAGGAGGATCTGGGCTGCTCTGTGCAAAATCACTGTGGAAAGCAGGTAAGTATGATGTGTTTATGATTTTTAGAAAAAGAAAATTATGCCTTTAGTATCACTTTAGAGAAGATCTGTAAAAAAAAAGAGTGGACCAAAATCCCTCATGAGATGTGTGCAAACCTGGTAACCAACTACAAGAAATGTCTTACCTCTGTGTTTGCCAACAAGGGTTTCTCCACCAAGTACCAAGTCATGTTTTGCTTGGAGTTCAAATACGTATTTTACCCACTGAACTGCAAATCAATTTATAACATTTGTACCACGTGTTTTTTTTTTCTAGATTTTTAGTTGATATTCTGTCTCTATGATAAAAATCTGCAGGGGATCAAATAATTATTTTCCCCACTGTATGTACAAACATACCATTGGCCTACAGCACAGATGGAAAGTGTCTGCTCTATGGATGTACCAGTGTTTTACTCCAGAGTCCTTTCACTGTGAATTGCCTCCAATTAATGCTTGTTTATCTCCAGCAAAGAATACCAAAATGGCTGATCAGTGCTGAACATTTTTTTATCTATCAGGAACTACTCCAACAAAATTCTGGGAAAAGTATTGAAGTTCCTTTAGGTCTGTATGGGTGCACAGTTAGTGAAAGCATGGTGGATAACAGATCCCCAAGCCCAAGAAACTGCCATAACTGCTCCAAGCCCAAGCAGCCACATCCACTGAGCAACTGCAGGGAATTTGTGTGCCACCTCACAAAAGGTTTTTCCTATCCAACTGTCAAAAAAAGTCTGTCCTCCTATAGAACAAAGCAACCAGAGTATTACCACTATCTAAGGACAGTATTGCAGAATCTGTTTGCTGTAGGCAAAAAGAGCCCACATTCCTTTTATTTGCCAGCAGGAGTCATGTGAAGTCTTCCCAGACTTAAATAAGTTCAACTTTAAAGAAAAAAAATAATAAAATGCTAATTTTTTTGCAGGTAAAAAAATGTGCATTTATTATATTTTTTTCTTGGGAGCCTGCAAAGCAATGCACCCTTGATCAGCAATCACTGGTGCAATGTTAGGCACTTGCAGGCTGTCAGTACACTGTCTGCCTGTACCTCCAATGTGGGCAGGCAATTACTGAAGTCCAGGAAGCTCAATGGACTACAAGAGCGCTCACCAGCACCCTCACAGTTCATTGGGAACTACAAGCCATGGTTTGCTATGGCTGGCGGTACTTGTAGACATTCATTCATAGAACTCAGTTTTCAAATTGTGACAGCGGGTGCGGGGAAAAAAAGTCACCCACCTGCTGTCACAGGGAAGGGTGGGGGATTGGGGGTTGAGATGGTGAATGCTCAACATGTTGCATGTTACACCCTAAACAAGGGGGTAACATGTAACCTGTTGAGAAAGCTGAACTTATCCTTTAAAACATGTGGGAGCTCTGGTAATATGCTATTGTTCATAATGACAATCTTAGTATACCGGTAAAGGTTAAAAAAAAAAAAAAAAAACAACTATATATAACCTACTGTATATAACATATGTATACATTCCATTTTTGGATTTCACAGACTAGTTATCTACTTTCCTCTTTTTATATAAAACACTGCAAATCCCATATTTTCACCAATATTCTGGTCTAACATTCTAGTCTATAAACAAATCTTGCATATGTTTTGAACTGTAAATTCAGATAACATACAGAATAAATTAAGCACTTTAAAGACTTACCTCGTCCACATTTTCAAAGGCATTGATGATGTCGTAGGGTAAACAAGACAGCAGGTCTATTACAAACCAAGTCTTCAAATAGTTCATTCTTATTAGTTTGGGGTCTGAAATGACCTCTCCACCTGGGCCAACAAAAGTTGTATGGAAGTTCAAAACAATGTCCACAAGGAAGATAACATCCACCACGCTGTCCAACACCAGCCAGGCAATGTTGTTCTGTTTCGTCTTGAAGGAGACATTGTAGGGTACCATGATTGCTGTGTAAAAAGTTAAAATGAGGATAACCCAGTCCCAGGTGGTCTTGAATGCACAGTAATGTAATATAATGTGTGGTGGGGTTTTTGGTGCTTCTTGCTTGTACTGAGGGAGGATATCGGAGCCCAGCTGCAAAACCTTGAAAATAAATAAAAAGAACAATAAACTATAAAGGATCACAAAAAATATAAATATTTCTCATGAGTAATAACATGTTAAATCAATCACACCAGCCACATACTCACAACATGTGCTGAAAAGTAAATATACATATACAGTACAGCTCTTCCCTATACAAATCAAACAACTCGCTAAATGTAAAATATATAGTGAACATGTAAAAATCAAAGTGAACATGCATCAATAAGGTAAACATGCATCAATACAACGTCTCTCAAAATGAATCTTTTCAACTTGAGTAAGTGATTTCTTCAACTTGAATAAAGAACCAAACTTCTGTCTTCATACAGATTAAATCCTCCACCAAACAACCACCAGATGTGCCCTCACTTGGAGTTTTTGACCTTACATAATGTCAGGTCAAAAAACGCATGTGTCCCAAGAAGCAGACACGTATTGGTATGAGAATCCAGAGTGCAGGTTCTTCCTCCAGAGATCGCCACTCTCTAAATGTCTCCTCCTCCACTCCACATATATGATATAAAATATAGGAAACACAATAGTGCTTTATCCTTAAAATAAAACTATTTTATGAAAAACGTAAACAGTGGCCACTCACATTCTTACTCACCAGATATGATGCACATGCAAAAACAACTTTGTAACCACAAGCATAGATATAAATTCTTCCACTCATCTGCTGTGACAGTGAATTGGTATGCGTAGTAAGTGTTGTGATGTAATCTAGCCCCTCCTCATTTGTTTCCTATCTTTTATATCATATATGTGGAGTGGAGGAGGAGAGATTTAGAGAGTGGTGTTCTCTGGAGGAAGAACCTGCACTCTGGATACTTATACGAATACATGTCTGCTTCTTGGGACACATGCGTGTTTTTACCTAACATGATAGAAGGTCAAAATATCCAGGTGAGGGCACATCTGGTGGTTGTTTGGTGGAGGATTTATTCTGTATGAAGACAGAAGTTTGGTTCTTTATTCAAGTTGAAGAAATCACTTATTCAAATTGAAAAGATTAATTTTAAGAGACTTTGTATTGATGCATGTTCACCTTATTGATGCATGTTCACTTTGATTGTTACATGTTCACTATATATTCTACATTTAGAGTGGTTTGATTTGTATAGGGAAGTGCTGCACTATATATTTATATTTAACTATAAAGGATCAGTCCCACCAAACTGGTCATTTAGATGCAGGGAGCTATCAACAAGTTGGGGTTATTTCTCCCAGTTATAAAGAGGGCTTCCAGATTCCAATAATCCATCCATTCCCCCACTATTCCCACAAACCCCCACATCTCTTTTGAGCCACAAGCTATTCAAATGAGGCCCTTGTCCTCTCAACATGGGGACAAAATACCTTGCAAAAGAGGATACCCCCCCAACTTTGCAGAGTACCCTTCCAATGCTGAAGGCATGTGACCTGGTGTAGTTCAGGAAGTGGAAGCACTTGCGGCCATCCTATGAAAAAAGGGGGATGAGATGGCTTTCCCCCTAAAATTCCAACAGACCCTTATATATAGGCATACTGCATGGGTGGATAGGAAAGGGAGGTCGCCTCCCTCCTGAACCATACCAGGTCATGTGCCTTCAACATTGGCTCGCAGGGGCCTCATCCTCCCATCCTGTCCCCTAAAAGGGATGTCGGGGTTTGCAGGAGATGACTTTTTTGAAATATGGAAGCTCACTTACAATATCCATGCCTTCCTCCTCCCTCTTCCCAGGGGAATGAGTATAGGGCACATAGTTACCTTCACTACTCTCTTACTTTGTTACAAGTAAAAAAAAATAAAAATTCCTCAATGTAAATCAAAAGTCCATCACTTTGCCCAGCAGTTTAGATCCTTGTCAGTCATGACAACCCACCGCTGATAACCTCATGTTAAACCCAAACCTCATCTCTAGATCACAGTACAAACAGTTTAGTTTTATTTTGTTCTCTAGAATTTTTGTAATTCAAATTTTATTTTATGTTATGGTTCCTTTATGATCAAAAATAGTTCCATCCAATCTTGTAGAAAAAAAAAAAAAAAAACATTTCCTGGTTCCAGATTTCATAAGATTACAACTGATTCATTTTTCTGTATGGCTCTTGCCAAGGCAGCGCATCTCCTGATTGTAGGGATTGTTGTGAGAAAAACATATACCTTACAAAAGTTTGATGTTTCTATCCTTTGATGCAAGATCAAAATAAGCCCAAAGACTGAAAAATAAATAAATATCTGAGATGCCACTCAAGAATAAGAGGCGTTCGCAATCAGAAACCTGCAACAGCTTTCTGAAGAAACAGGTAAGAATACATTAGCTTTGCTAAAATTATATGTATATATGCTTCACTATAAAAAATACACATAGAGAAGGGAATGGATTTATTATGTCATATAAATCAATCAGTCTTTTCATTTAAGGGAGTAACAAAAGCTTACCTCGACACACACATGTACTATCTTCACAGCTTCAAAAGAACCTACCACTTTTCCCATTGTCTAAATTAGGTATCATTTTTACTAAAAATTTATTATGGCACAAAATAGTAAAAAAAAAAAAATATATATATATATATATATATATATATATATATATATATATATCAGTACATCTTGGTAGCTTTTTTCAATTAAAAATATATTTCCCCATGTTTTGTTATATGCTGTGGTATAGAGATCCATTGATCTTGCCAGAAACCTATTGAGCTCTTAACTTTAACTAGTTTAAGCTGAAAATGCTGCCTCTGCTGCACTGAAATTGCAAGCAGTATTGTCAGCCCTGCCCAGTTCTCTCCTCTGGAATACAGAACACCTGCAGTACCCCTTATGTTTTGGAGATTACGAGAGAAGAAGGTATTCTGTAGTCCAGCAAAGGAGAACTGGGCAGGACTTCAGTTAAACAGAAGCACTGTGTTGTCAACTGAAAAAGGTAGTTAGGAGTACATAGTCAACGCAGTGGTTTAATGGTCAACACTTGCCTTGAGCACTAGGCTCCTTGGCTCGAATCCCAACCAAAACATTACCTGTATGGAGTTCGTAAGTGCTCCCTTTGCTTGTGTAGGTTTCTTCCGGATACTCCAATTTCCTCCCACACTCCAAATATATCTGCCTGGTCAATTGGTTCCTATTTAAACTGGCCTCAGCCAGTGTATGTATGCATGTTAGATAGGGACCATAGACTGCAAGCTCATTGGAGCAGAGACTAATGTAAATTTATAGTATTTAAAGTGCTGTGTATTCTCTCTGTGCTATATACAGGTGCATCTAAAAAAATTAGAATATCATCAAAAAGTTAATTTATTTCAGTAATTCAATTCAAAAAGTGAAAATCATATATTATTTAGATTCATTACACACAGTGATATATTTCAAGCATTTCTTTCTTTTAATTTTGATGACTATGGCTTACAACTAGTGAAAATCTAAAATTCAGTATCTCAGAAAATTAGAATATTGTGAAAGTGCAATATTGTTGACTCATGGGGGTTTATTTTACTAAAGCTGGAGAGTGCAAAATCAGACTCACTTCTGCATAGAAACCAATCAGCTGCCAAAGCTTCATTGAACAAGCTGAGGTTAGAAGCTGATTGGTTTCTATGCAGAAGGGAGTCTGATTTTGGACTCTCCAGCTTTAGTAAATAAACCCCATGGTGTCAGACTCTAATCAGCTAATGAACTCAAAACACCTGTAAAGGTTTCCTTAGCCTTTAAATGGTCTCTCAGTCTTGTTCAATAGGTTACACAATCATGGGGAACACTGCTGACTTGACAGTTGTCCAGAAGACACTCATTGACACCCTCTACAAGGAGGGTAAGTTACAAAAGGTCATTGCTAAAGAAGCTGGCTGTTCACAGAGTGCTGTATCCAAGCATATTAATGAAACGTTGAGAGGAAGGACAAAGTGTGGTAGAAATAGGTACACAAGCAACAGGGATAACAGCAGTCTTGAGAGGATTGTGAAGCAATGGCTATTCAAGGATTTGAGGGAGATTCACAAGGAGTGGACTATGGCTGGTGTCAGTGCTTCAAGAGCCACCACCACAAACACACACATATCCAGGACATGGGCTACAACTGTCGCATTCCATGTGTCAAGCTACTCCTGAACCAGAGACAACATCAAAGCATCTTATCTGGGCTAAGGAGAAAAAGGACTGGACTGTTGCTCAGTGGTCCAAAGTAAATTTTGCATTTCATTTGGAAATCAAGGTCGCAGAGTCTGGAAGATGAGTGGAGAGGCACAGAATACAAGTTGCATGAGGTCCAGTGTGAAATTTCCACAGTCAGTGATGATTTGGGGAGCCATGTCATCTGCTGGTGTTGGTGCACTGTGTTTTATCAAGTCCAAAGTCAGTGCAGCCCTTTTCCAGGTAATGTTAGAGCACTTCATGCTTCCCTCTGCTGACCAGCTTTGTGGAGATGCTGATTTAATTTTCCAGCAGCATTTGGCACCTGCCCACACTGCCAAAAGTACCAATACCTGGTTTAATGATCACGGTATCACTGTGCTTGATAGACCAGCAAACTCGCCTGACCTAAACCCCCTACAGAATCTGTGGGGTATTGTCAAGAGGAAGATGAGAGACACCAGACCCACCAATGTAGAGGAGTTCAAGACGGCTATCAAAGCAACCTGGGCTTCCATAACACCTCAGCAGTGCCACAGGCTGATCGCCTCCATGCTACACCACATTGATGCAGTAATTCATGCAAAAGGAACCCCGACCCAGTAGTGAGTGCATACTATACTGTACATGGACATACTTTTCAGTAAGCCAACATTTCTGCATTAAAAATCCTTTTTTTTTTTTATTGGTCTTGTTTAATATTCAAATTTTCTGAGATACTGAATTTTGAGTTTTCACTATCTGTAAGCCATAATCATCAAAAGCAAAAGTAAGAAATGCTTGAAATATATCACTGTGTGTAATGAATCTATAGAATGAGTTTCACTATTTGAATTGAATTACTGCAATAAATTTACTTTTTGATGATATTCTAATTTATTGGGATGTACCTGTAAATACCTGTAATAATTAAAAAAAAAAAATAATTCTGGCAGATTAACAGGCATTTCTTTTATTCTGCCCAGACATACATTTTACGACTAATCCTGAGCATGCTGACTGCTAGTGGTAAATATTTATATTTAAAAAACATTTCACTAAAATGATATTTACAAGAAAAAAAATACCCAATAAAAATAAACCTAATGAAAAATAAAGTGTATGCCAAAAAAGTATATATTCCTGATAACCATGCGTGTCTAGAACCTTGTAAATTTAACTACTTCAGGTAAATCCCCATACATTACGTAGTATAGGCTCTCCTCAGCCTGCGTGCCTACAGTCATTACAACAAGCACTGTAGGACTTGCGGTGCCCAAGGGAAGGCAGCACTGCAGTAAGAACATCAAACAGTTTTCTATTTTAAGGACTGTTTATCCAGCATACTAAAACCAACAAATATATGGATTGAGTCTGCTCCATTACTTAGTAAAACTTACAGATGGTGCTGTTATGTCCACGTTTCACCAAGTTTGTAAAACAGACACCACACAATTGAGAAGGAAAAGCTTTTATCGTACATTTTGATTAGGTTCCAAAGGCTAACAACACTCTCTGAATTATTAATTGGGGCAATCTAACGATCTCATCACTACATGAATCATGCAGTATAGGACAGTCCAAGTCCTATTACACACCATGTGCACGTTAGCCTTGCAGTGCAACCTAACCCCAAGGGGGATTAATTACTGATGTGCAAAGAAAAGGATGTCATATCTATCTAGAAGGCGTGTAGAGTTTTTAGAAAGTGCTCTATAATCTGATGCACCCTTTACACGAGTGATAAACTGTTACAAGAGAAGTGTTACCATTAAAGAACCAGTAAACTGATAACACAAGTCCATAGAGTAGATATTACAAGGAGCTTTAAAGACCAGCCCCAGCCAAACCAAGATCCTCTGTTTTGGGTAGCTGAGGGAAGAGTTTATTGACCCATCTGCTGCTGGCTATGACCTTATCTCCCCCACTTACAGCTGTAACAAATGCAGATGATACATTTCTTGCACCCTCTACTGGATCCTTTATAAGATTATATGGCCTTACTCAAAAAAAAAAAAAAAAAAAAAGAGTTCTTAAAGTGCCCGTGTCACAATAGAAATACTGAGGGTGCCATTTTTGCCTATTCTGAAGAGAATAGTGGCCTGAGCGTGCCTGGTTGGCGTGCTTACGAGTCACAAACCCAGAAGAAGAATGCAGAAAAATGTCAGGATATCATTTTTAGGGCTGGTTCACACCAGATGCAGTCCAGTGCAATTTGTTTGCATCAAAAATGCATGCACAAAGTTTTCCATGTGTTCCAATGGCCCTGGTTCACACCAGTGCAGTCAGTTCCAGTGCTGAAAAAAAGTGTAGAACATGCAGTATTTTTTCTGCACAGAACTGTACTGGAACATAGCATCAAAAATGTCCCGGAACGGAATGTGGTATGAACTGTAAGCATACGCATCCGGAACGCATCTGGAGTGTGTTTGTATGACGTGAACTGGCCCTTACACTTGTTTCAGTTCAGTAGCTCAAATCTTGAAGTCAAAGCAACAGCAGACAAGTAGCATTTGTAAACAGCAGAGTTATACACACACTATATGGCCAAGAGTTTGTGAGCATCTCTCCAAATTATTGCATTCAGATCTATCCAGAAGGGATACTGGTAATGCTACAACATACAAATATATTTGAGCCAATTTGGAGTTTCCAACCTCATGAAACACTTTGCGGAAGGCCCTTAGTTTTCCAGCATGACTACCCACTGTGCATGATGCCAGCTCCATAAATACAAGTTTGAACTACACTATTGGGTTGATTTACTAAAGGCAAATAGACTGTGCACTTTGAAAATGCAGTTGCACTCTTCAAAAGCAGTTGCTCCAGAGCTTAATAAATGAGCAGAAGCTCTGCTGACTTTCATCATTCAATCATGTGTAAGCAAAAGTGCATTTTTTTCAGTTTTCCTTGCACATGATGCAGTATTCATTGCAAGGTGAATCTTTATCTTATTTACAAAGCACTGGAGCAATTGCACTTGCAGAGGTGCATGGTGCACAGTCTATTGGCCTTTAGTAAATCAACCCCTATATTGCCAAAAGTATTGGGACACCTGCCTTTCCACGCACATGAACTTTAATGGCATTCCAGTCTTAGTCCGTAGGGTTAAATATTGAGTTGGCCCTGCCCTTTGCAGCTATAAGAGCTTCAGCTCTTCTGGAAAGGCTGTCCACAAGGTTTAACAGTGGGTCTATGGAAATGTTTGGCCATTTCTGCATTTGTGAGGTAAGGCACTAATGTTGGACAAGAAAGCCTGGCTCGCAGTCTCCGCTCTAATTCAACCCGCAGGTGTTCTATTGTGTTATCGTAAGGACTCTGTGCAGGCCAGTCAAGTTCCTCCACCCCAAATTCACTCATCCATGTCTTTATGGGCCTTACTTTGTGCACTGGTGCACAATCATGTTGGAACAGGAAGGGGCCAAACTGTTCCCACAAAGTTGGGAGCATTAAATTGTCCAAAATGTCTTCGTATTCTGAAGCCTTATGAGTTTGCATCACTGGAACTAAGTGGCCAAGCCAAACCCCTGAAAAACAGCCCCACACCATAATCCCCCCTCCACCAAACTTTACACTTGGCACAATGCAGTCAGACAAGTACCGTTCTCCTGGAAACTGCCAAACACACCCAGACACACTCATCGGATTGCCAGAGAAGCGCGATTCATTACTTCAAAAAAAACAGGTTTCCACTGCTCTAGAGTCCAGTGGCGGTGTGCTTTACACCATTGCATCTAACACTTTGCATTGCACTTGGTGATGTAAGGCTTGGATGCAGCTGCTCGGCCATGGAAACCCATTCCATGAAGCTCTCTGTTGTTGTGCTAATCTGAAGGCCACATGAAGTTTGGAGGTCTTTAGCTATCGACTCTGCAGACAGTTGGTGACCCCGCTCTGTCATTTTACCTGGCCTACCACTTCATGACTGTTGTTCCCAGTTGCTTCCACTTTGTTATAATACCACTACAGTTGACCGTGGAATATTTAGTAGCAAGGACATTTCACAGATGGACTTATTGCACAGGTGGAAATCTATCACGGTACTGCGCTTGAATTCACTGAGCTCCTGAGAGCGACCCATTCTTTCAGAAATGTTTGTAGAAGCAGTCTGTATGCCTAGGTGCTTGATTTTATACACCTGTGGCCATAGGGTGATTGGAGCACCTGAATCCAATGATTTGGAGGTGTGTCCCAATACGTCTTGGTAATATAGTGTAGTTTTGTGTGCAGGAACTGGACCTCAACCCTACTGAACATCACAGGGATGAATTGGAACACTAACTGAAAGCAGGACTTCTTGTTCAATATTGTTACCTGAACTCACAAAAGTCTGGCCACTGTGCCCACGTTTCCTACACAAAAAAAGGCACCAGCACCTGTTTAAAAATGTTGCAGCGGGGAAACCGCATTGTCTTTTTGACTCTGAGGTTTCCATGTGGCTCCCGTACACGCAATCATGTTGAGATGCGTGGGGGTGTCATTCAGAATGAATGGAAGCGCTGTGCACCTTGTAAGGGGAGCGCAATTTGACTGCAGGTGGTTGCGGGTGCGGGAACTGATGCAACTCCCGCACCCGCAACCAGCCCGCATAGAGTGAACCAAGGCTCAATGTGTGATACCTTCTCTACCATTGCAAAGAACATAAACTGCTTTCATTTTGAAACTTCAGCTGCTGCTTGTTTTGTTTCTACCTGTTACTTAACCCTGTCTGCAGGTTCTGCTTACTGGGCCATTAACTTTGTAAATTCAGCAAAAAAATAAGATAGATAAATAGTACAGAGGTACTACCACCATCATACCTTGTAAACCAGAGCATTTCCATTTCACAAAGCAGCTAATTTTAGAAATGCAATCATAAATTATTGTTATTTTAATTAGGTACAGGAATGCAATAAAGAACCTTTGTGCTCATGTTGGAAAATGTTTGAAGCTGCTCTGATTAGTAACAGCTCAGAAAAAAGTTGGGAAAAAAAAACAAATGAGATTATATTAATTGTTCTGCTATTTTAATAAGGTTGATGCATGAAAAAAATGTTTTTACTGGGCCTTTATCTCCTAGAAATATGAAAAATATAATGGCTGTTAAATGCATCTTGACCTTAAAGTAGAATTATGGACGAAATAAAAACATACAGTATATGATGTAGGTCTGTTAATACCATAGCAGTCTTTGTTCCCCTTCCCCCTATCCCCCCAATAGATCGTTTTTTTCTACTTCCCTTAAGAGGGAGACAACGCTGTTCGTTCTGTAGTGAAATTACTGCAGGATCATGCAGATGGACATGTAGGTTAAAAGGTGGAAACAATAGAAAAAAAAAAATAAAAAAATTATAATATATATATATATATACACATATATATATACACACATATACACACACACACACACACACACACACATATATATATATATATATATATACATATACACACATACATATATATATACATACATATATATATATACATATACACATACACACACATTATATATATATATATATATATATATATATATATATATATATATATATATATATACACAGTTGCAAGAAAAAGTATGTGAACCCCTTGGGATTACGTGGCGTTTTGCATGAATTGGGCATAAAATGTGCTCTGAACGTCATCTAAGTCACAACAATAGAAGAACACAGTCTGCTGAACATAATACTACACAAACATTAGATGTTGTCATGGTTTAATTGCACATAACATGTAAACATTCACAGTGCAGGGAGGAAAAAGTATGTGAGGACCTAGCTTAATGACTTTTCCCAGAGCTAATTGGAGCCAGGAGTGAGCCAACCTTGACTCCAAATCAGTGTGATGATATTGGATGTGTTGCGGACAGCTGTCCTGCCCTTAAAAAACACACACCTGTTTTGGGTTTACTGGTTTCAAGAAGCACTGTCTGATGTGAACCATGCCTCGCAGAAAAGAGCTCTCAGAAGACCTACGATCAAGAACTGTTGACTTGCATGAAGCTAGAAAGGGTTACAAAAGTATCTCCAAAAGCCTTGATGTTCATGTGTCCACGATAAGACAGACTGTCTACAAATGGAGAAAGTTTAGCACTGTTGCTACTCTCCCTAGGCGTGGTCGTCCTGTAAAAATGACTGCAAGAGCACAGCGCAGAATGCTGCATGAGGTCAAGAAGAATCCCAGAGTGTCAGCTAAAGACCTACAGAAATCTCCGGCACATGCTAACATTTTTGTTGACACATCTACAATAAGGAAAACATTAAACAAGAATGGAGTACATGGGAGGACACCACGGAGGAAGCCATGGCTGTCCAAAAAGAATATTGCAGCACGTTTGAAGTTTGCAAAAGAGCACCTGGATGTTCCACAGCACTACTGGCAAAATATACTGTGGACAGATGAAACCAAGATTGAGTTGTTTGGGAAGAACACACAACACTATGTGTGGAGAAAAAAAAGGCACAGCACACCAACATCCAAACCCCATCCCCACTGTGAAACATGGCGGAGGGAGCATCATGGTTTGGGGCTGCTTTGCTGCCTCAGGGCCTGGACGGATTGTTGTCATTGATGGGAAAATGAATTCCAGAGTTTATCAAGACATTTTGCAGGAAAACGTACGACCATCTGTCCGCCAACTGAAGCTCCGCAGAGGATGGGTGATGCAACAGGACAATGACCCAAAGCATACAAGTAATTCAACAAAACAATGGCTGCAACAGCACAGAATACGCCTTCTGGAGTAGCCCAGTCAGAGTCCTGACCTCAACCCGATTGAAATGCTGTGGCATGACCTTAAGAGAGCGATTCACACCAGACATCCCAAGAATATTGCTACACTGAAACAGTTTTGTGAAGAGGAGTGGTCCAAAATGACTCCAGATCATTGTGCAACTATCTGCAACTACAGGAAACGTTTGGTTGAGGTTATTGCTGCCAAAGGAGGGTCAACCAGTTATTAAGTCCAAAGGTTCACATACTTTTTCCTCCCTGCACTGTGAATGTTTACATGTTATGTGCAATTAAACCATGGCAACATCTAATGTTTGTGTAGTATTATGTTCAGTAGACTGTGTTCTTCTATTGTTGTGACTTAGATGATGTTCAGAGCACATTTTATGCCCAATTCATGCAAAACTCCACGTAATCCCAAGGGGTTCACATACTTTTTCTTGCAACTGTACATACATACACACACATATATATACACAACATATATACACATACATACACACACATATATATATATATATTATACACACACATACATATACACACACTCACTCTCACCAGCCTCTTTATAGGGTACGCCTTGCTAGTATCGGGTTGGACCACCTTTTGCCTTCAGAACTGCCTTATTTCTTTGTGGCATAGATTCAACAAGGTGCTGCGAACATTCCTCAGAGATTTTGGTCCATATTGACATGATAGAATCACCCAGTGCCTGCAGATTTGTCAGGTGTACATCCATGATGCAAATTTCCCCATTCCACCATATCCCAAAGGTGCTCTATTGGATTGAGATCTGGTGACTGTTTAACTCATTGTCATGTTTATTTATTTATTTCAGGTATTTATATAGCGCTGTCAATTTACACAGCGCTTTACATATATGTATATATATACAGTAAGGAACAGAAGTATTTGAACACCCTGCGATTTTGCAAGTTCTCCCACTTAGAAATCATGGAGGGGTCTGAAATTCACATTGTAGGTGCATTCCCACTCTGAGAGACAATTAAAAAAAAAAAAATTCAGGAAATCACATTGTATGATTTTTAAAGAATGTATTTGTCTTGCACTGTTGAACATAAGTATTTGAACACCTGAGAAAATCAGTGTTAATATTTTGTACAGAAGCCTTTGTTTGCAATTACAGAGGTCAGACGTTTCCTGTAGTTCTTGACCAAGTTTGCACACACTGTAACAGGGATTTTGGCCCACTCCTCCACACAGATCTCCTCTAGATCTGTCAGGTTTTGGGGATGTCGCTGAGCAACATGGAGTTTCAGCTCCCTCCAAAGATGTTCTATTGGATTTAGGTCTGGAGACTGGCTAGGCCACTCCAGAACCTTGATATGCTTCTTACAGAGCCACTCCTTGGTTATCCTGGCTGTGTGCTTCGGGTCGTTGTCATGTTGGAAGACCCAGCCACGACCCATCTTCAATGCTCTGACTGAGGGAAGGAGGTTGTTGCTCAAAATCTCACAATAAATGGCCCCATTCATCCTCTCCTTAATACAGTGCAGTCGTCCTGTCCCCTTTGCAGAAAAGCACCCTCAAAAGCATGATGTTACCACCCCCATGCTTCACAGTAGGGATGGTGTTCTTGGGATGCAACTCATCCTTCTTTTTCCTCCAAACACGACGAGTGAAGTTTAGACCAAAAAGTTCTACTTTGGTCTCATCTGACCACATGACTTTCTCCCATGCCTCCTCTGGATCATCCAGATGGTCATTGCAAACTTCAGACGGGCCTGGACATGTGATGACTTGAGCAGGGGAACCTTCCGTGCAATGCATGATTTGAAACCATGACGGCGTAGTGTTCTACCGACAGTGACCTTTGGAACTGTGGTCCCAGCTCTCTTCATGTCATTGACCAGCTCCTCCCTTGTAGTTCTGGGCTGATTCCTCACCTTTCTTATCATCAGTGATACCCCAAGAGGTGAGATCTTGCATGGAGCCCCAGTCCGAGGTAGACTGACAGTTGTCTTTAGCCCCGTCCATTTTCTAACAATTGCTCCAACAGTTGATCTATTTTCACCAAGCTGCTTGGCAATTGCCCGTAGCCCTTTCCAGCCTTGTGGAGGTCCACAATTTTGTCTCTGGTATCTTTTGACAGCTCTTTGGTCTTGCCCATGGTAGTAGTTGGCGTCTAAAGACACCTGTCCACCCCACAGTCAGTCAAAGAGCTCAGACAGGTGCTACTAAGTTAGATTAATGAGTGGAGTAGAGGTGGACTTTTTAAAGGCACAGTAACAGGTCTTTGAGAGCCAGAATTCTTGTTGTCTCTTAGGTGTTCAAATACTTATGTTCAGCAGTGCAAGACAAATAAATTCTTTAAAAATCATACAATGTGATTTCCTGAATTTTTTT